AACTTCCCCAGTGAGCCAAGACTGCCCAAATTTGAGTATTGTTGAGTGCTTTTGTGTTCATTAAGAACTGTGGTTTTGACTGGTTGTTTTTTTTAAAAAAAACGCTTTTTAAAAAAACCTTTTTTAAAACTTTTGTCCTTTTATTCGCTACAGAAAAGTCCTAGGTATAGAAATTCTTTTCCAGTTCTGTAAATCCATTTCTGTAAATACTGTGAGGGGAAAAAAGTATGTTTGGTAATATAACTAAATATATGGTATACACATCAAGGGAACTAATCAAAAAACATAAAGGATTTCTTGCAATTTGTAGCTTTCTTAAATGCATGATCTTTCCACTCATACAATGTAGATAAAGCTCTCAAAAAAACCCTTTCATTATTGTCTTGATGTTTTTTGTCTCAATATGATCACTTAAAAAAAAAAAGTATCTCCATCTAAAAGATTTTGAGTAAAGAACAATAAACTAAAGAAAACTAACTGTGGCTCAGACTAACTTGCTGTCTTATGGTCAGCTCTTCTAGTTATATGGTGCTTGTGTTTTCCAGTTTGTGGGGAGTGCCAGCTAGTATTTGAAGATGGGGATTTAATTAATTAATATCTTAAATATTTTCTAAGTGTGTTATAGTTTAAGTGTACTTGTAAAGGACTTCCGAGTCAAGAAGTTGATGTGATCTTAATGCTAATTATTGAATGTAGGAGAGACTTGGGCTTTTGCTAGTCAATGGGGTTTAACTTTCAAGAAGTTTTCAACTTTGTTAGAATAACCTTAGAAATAAAACTAAATGCAGATATTGTTCATAATTTCCTTTAGTTTCAGAACGCCAGTCGTAAGGAACGACTTTCCACCAGTATGTCAAATTTCTACTCCCTACAGTCAGGCCCCATATTTCCTACCACATACTCCAGCAACTCCATTTCAAAATCAAGTTGGCTTACAGGTAACAATTTTAGGCTGTCTTCTGTCTTTTTTCAGTACGTGTTTTCATTGGAGCCTACTTAAATATGTATTAATAATATAACATAATATATGCATGTATGTGTGTATATATATATTTTAATCTAAAGTTACTGTTCGTCTTTTTTGATGAGTAATGGAAAATAGTCTGTATTGTGTCTTAAAATAACTATTTCTTCATATGTATGTCTGAACTTAGGTAAAATAAGTCAACTCTTGAAAAATCGTTCAGTCGTGTCAAAATCCTGAAGCCTTTATGTTTGAAATCTAAGCCTTTTCAGATCCTAATTCATTAGAGGCAAGAACTAGAGTCACTGTTTTTGTTCTGCTGTGCTTTTATAGTGGTACTACCCACTACAGTGGAGTACCTAGAGAGAGAGAAGCAGTATTAGAAACCATAAAGGTCTGAGGGAGGTAAAAGAATGAGGAATTACATTCCTTCTCCATTTTTGTTAAATTTCACAAATCTTGCTGCATTTCTAGTGGCCTGATATAGTGTAAAAATGGATTACCTTAGAGAGGTTGCATATTCAAGTAGGAATCTTCCCAATTGGAGGATAGGTTTAAGCTTCCTGCCAGAGGATTAATATTTAAAATTTGTGGCTCTTCTACAGCTTCGTGTAACAGGTACAGACAATACAGGCTGTTTCATCTTCGCAACACTGAAGTCTACTAGCTAGCAGTTACCTTCAAATAAAATAGTAGGTGATTTGCGTAGTACAGCTCTAAGCTAGTTGCATGCTGTGACTGAAAGTATTAGTCTGGTTTCCAACATTATCTGTAAAGAGGGAGATGTCTCTAATGATCTGAGAAGCCTTATCAACGAACGCCCTGCTCTTGATTTCCAATGTGAAGAGCATTGGTGTCTTTTGTAAGATTTCAATGATGTTTCATGCCGAGTGATGATCATTATACAAATACTTTTGCTATGGGGATTTTTAACTTTCAAGACAAATATATTTAAAGTCCATCTTTACTGCACTTTATCTTTTTCAGAAAGACCAAGACAATTTAAAGCATATTAACTTAATAAAAAGTAGAGCTCTACCATGTTCTGCTGCATATATCCCAGTAGTTATTTTCCTAACTTTTTCTGTATGTACACAGGTTCCAGCTCCTATACCTTCACATGAATGTCTTGCCATCAAAGGAAAAGTTTATACAATACTGAAGCAAATAGGTAGTGGAGGCTCAAGTAAGGTAAGATGCTCTTTTGTCCTTTTAGACAGTCACTTATTTACACAGTAGTAGTTGTATTGTAAACAGATGTGATGAAGTCATCTAACGAGTACCTAGTACTGACATGTACAAAGTGTTTGAGTGACATAGAGAATCTAGAAATTTATTGTTTTAATCCCTCATGGATACAGAAGAAACATAGTGCACAGATTATATTTGGTACAATGCTGTTTTATCTGAGCCTTCAGATAGGCAGCAATAACAACTTAATTAATGTCTTATTATGAAAATGATGCTTCAATTATTACAGGATGTTAAGCCTCAGTACTATTTATTTTAGTGGAGAAATAAAGTTAAAACAGTGGGTAAATAAGGGGATCTGTGCTGAGGTAAATAATAGTGAATGGAAATTCTGAACAGATGTGGTCAGAACACTGAACAGAAGTTACAAAATTGGAAAAAGTGATCACCCAACTCTCGTGAGCATCTAAAAACGTCACTTAAATCAGTAAACAGTGGTAAGAGCCTAGTTCCTTTTGGTTTCTGTTTGAAGGCCTGAAGGTAGATTGTGTATGCCCTTGAAGATAAAAATTTCTGTTGTGGAGTGAGTATTAAAATTCCTAATAAAATTAGTTCTTCTGCTATAAGAGATGTGCTGCAGTATTACTGTACGTCTTAAATGGAGACACTGTTGTTTAGGTCAATGTGGTTACATTGTTGGGAAATGCGTGGCTTGTAAGGTTGGTTGAAAGTTCCTGAAGTGGGCAGACCATCCCTTATCACTGAAGTCTTCTGTAACTTGTGTGAGAAGTGACTGCAGTGGTGAGCCAGCAGGTTTTCATAAGGAAAACTGGGGTCACAGGAGCTTGAGAAACAGTTTTGGCAAAATCTCTTGCTCAGAAGATAAATTATAACAAAAACAACATAGGCAGTTTTGTGTGAGTTAAATTTCTATCTTTTCTTCTGTCTACAACGCTTCTGCTTCACCTGTATGCTTCCGTCTGTGAGGACCATGTTACTAGTCACAGGGACAACCGAAGAATTTGTGTAAGGGAAACTTGACACGTGCACAGGGTTAATCCTTAGTAACAGCCTATGTAGTACTTAGTGTGCAGCACACGGAAAGTGAAATGGCTACTTTTAGTTAATCTGAGGCATGCAGTGAAATACAAATTGGATGCTTAAGTTAAATGTGCATTTCTATTTAAAAGTTTTTTTTTTTAAGAATCCTTTTGACTTGTCAAAAATTGCCCAGAAAGCTTAGAGCTAGTTTTAGGACTGAGTATCTCTAATCTTATCCTTAAGTTCAGTCCACTAAATCCTCTAGTGTTTTGTTTTAAATGCAGGGATTTTCCTGAACTGGCTTAAAGTGCCTGAGATGGTAATTAAGTTTCACCTTGTTTTATAGCTTTTCAATTTTTGTAATCAAAAATATTTGATAGTTGTCATTTCATCAGTAGCTTAATTGAATGGAATATGCTCAAGCTCTCATGTTGCAACTTCTGTGCTCACTTAAAATAGGCTTCCTTCTCTGCAAAACTGAGGAGTGCAGAGGTGCCATCTTAAAGTGACAAGTATTATCAACAGCATGTATACTTTATTGGTTTTTGGGTGTCTTACAATTCAGTGAATAGTCAAAGGAAATAAGACTAGAATTTTGCTCAAAAAATCGCCGTATGTCTAGATTGCAAAATTGTGAACACATTTATTTAATCATATTTGTTTAGACTTGGCTTATATTTATGACCCTTTATGCCTACTTTTTATTTTGGTTTCATATTTGCATGTGACAGAACCAAAGTGGTACTAAGCAATCAAACTATCTCTTCTAGTGATAGAAGAAATAGTCCAGGTGTGTCATAAGAGATGGGAAATTGGTTTTAAATGTCGCACATCTTATCTGATTCTGTTAATTCAGAGAGTAATAAATTGAATAGAATAACAGAATAGCATAAGAATAGAATATTTCAGTTGGAAGGGACCTGCAATGATCATCTAGTCCAACTGCCTGACCACTTCAGGGCTTGACCTAAAGTTAAAGCATGTTAAGGTCATTGTCCAAATGCCTCTTAAACACTGACAGGTTTGGGGAATCGACCACTTCTCTATGAAGCCTGTTTCAGTGTTTGATCACCTTCTCTGTGAAGAAACTCTTCCTAATGTCCAGGTGACTTTGAACCATTTCCACGTGTCCTGTCACTGAATACCAAGGAGAAGACCTCAGCATCTTTGTCTTTGCTTCCCCTCCTCAGGAAGCTGTAGAGAGCAGTGAGGTCGCCCCTCAGCCTCCTTTTCTCCAAACTAGGCAAGCCCAATGTCCTTAGCCACTCTTCATAGTACTTTCCTTCCAGCCCTGTCACCAGCTATGTTGCCCTCCTTGCATTCGAGTGTCTTGACATCCTTCTTAAATTGTGGGGCCCAGAACTGCACACAGTACTCAAGGTGAGGCTGCACCAATGCTGAATATGGTGGGATAATTGCCTTTTTTGAGTGTTTGGTTATACTGTTTGCATCTCAGGATGTGGTTTGCCCTCTTGGCTGCCAGGGCACACTGCAGATTCATATTGAGTCTGCTGCCAACCAGCACCCTCAGATCCTTTTCTGCAGGGCTGTTCTCCAGACACTTCTCTCCCAATTTATACTTGCGCCTGGTGTTACTCCATTCCAGGTGCAGACTCCAGCATTTGGACTTGTTAAATTTCATGCCATTGATGATTTCCCAATGCTCCTATCCATCTAGATCCCTCTGCAAAGCCTCTTGTCTATTGAGAGAGTCAACAGCACCTCCTGGTTTGGTATCACCAGCAAACTTGCTTATGGTGTGTTCAACTCCTACATCTAGATCACTGATAAATATCTTGAACAGAACTGGCCCTAGATTTGAACTCTGAGGAATGCCACTGGTGACTAGTTGCCAGCCAGGTGTAGCCCCATTCACCATAACCCTTTGAGCTCTGCCCTTCAGCCAGTTCTTCATCCAGCACACAGGGAACCTGCTCATGTCACAGTTGGACAACTTGTCCAGAAGGATGCTGTGAGGGACAGTATCAAAAGCCTTACTAAAATCCAGAAAAACTACATTCTCTGCTTTCCCTTCATCCACTAGGCAGGTGACCTTATAGAAGGATATCACATTGGTTAAACAGTGCTTTCCCTTTGTGAACTCATGTTGACTATGCCTGATGATTGCATTGTCCTTTAAATGCCTTTCAGTAGTACTCAGTAAGAACTTCTCCATAATTTTTCCAGGAACTGACATGAGACTAACAAGTCTGTAGTTTCCTGGGTCTTCCCTCATATCCTTCTTGTAAATTGGAATAACATTGGCTAGCCTCCCATCAGCAGGGACCTCCAGGAAGAAAGATTTATGTTGGCAGCATACAGACGTAGAACGAGGTAGGATGGAAAAAGTGTTCTACATGTCACTTGGTCCAATGGTCTGCTTAAAGCAAGGCCAAAACAGAGCAGGTTGCTCATGGTCTCTTGCAGTCAAGTTTTGAGTTATTACCAAGGATGGAGATTTCACAGCCTCTCTGGACACCCTGTTCCCCTGTTTGACTACATGATGATGAAAAAGCTTTTCTGATATCTAATTGGAGTTTTCCTTGTTAGCTGTGCCTGTTGCGTTTCCTACTTTGGTTCAAAAGGGGTCTGTCTTTTTCGTACCTTTCCTTTAAATAGCTGAAGACAGTAGTAAGATTCTCTGTAGTCTTCTCATCTTAAGACTAAAAAGACTCTGTGCTCTCAGCCTCTTCTTGTGTGCCATGCGGTCTAACTTCCAAATCATCTTGGTGTGATGAAATGGATGTGCAGTGGCAGGTCAAACCCTTGTATCTGTGGGAGATGTTATTGTACATTCTTTATCTTAAGAACAGTTCAGGCTTGTGATCAAATACATCTGGTGAAATATAATGTGGTACCAAGATGGTTTCTGATAGAGGATTGCTTCTGTTGTAACTAGTGACTTATTTTTTTCTTCATGCTGAACTTCTTTGTAAATTTAGTGTTGCATCTTCCTTTTGAAATGGCACACTTTTTCTTGGAAATTCTGACTGTGGTGAGATGAAGGACCACAGTAAATCAGAATTAGGATTGAAGGAAATTATTAACTGATACTGTTTTGCAGGTGTTTCAAGTACTGAATGAAAAGAAGCAGCTGTATGCTGTCAAATATGTGAATCTAGAGGAAGCTGATCAACAGACTGTTGAGAGCTATAAGAATGAAATTGCTCATTTGAGTAAACTGCAGCAACATAGTGATAAAATCATCCGCCTTTATTGCTAGTAAGTAAACACTAATTTTATTAAACCAGTATCTTTTGATATAAAGAAGCTGCCTTAAATTTTAACGTAAGTGTATTTATTTATTTTTAGTGAAATCACTGATCATCATATCTACATGGTAATGGAGTGTGGAAATATTGATCTCAATAGCTGGCTCAAAAAGAAAAAAAACATCGATCCATTGGAACGAAAGAGCTATTGGAAAAATATGCTGGAAGCTGTTCACACAATCCATGAATATGGTATTCTTAAATAATTATAAGTATTTGTATAGGTTCTATGGCAGAGATAATACGGACATGTTTAAATTTTGGAGGTGGTACTGGTTTTAGTTTTGGTACAAGCTTAGTGATCTTCAAAGATGGGTATTTACTGTATTGTGGAAAAAAAAAAAACTTTCAGTGAAACAAAGACGAGTAAATCTTGATGCAGAGGTAGACTTACTTTGCTAACTCAAAGGGATCTCCAAGTATCACTGTTGTATAATGCTCCCTATTTCCTTGCAACAGCCAGAAAATCATCTTTTCTGTATTAGACTCTGTTGTATACTCCCAATGCTTCCTGTTCTCCATTAGGCTCAAATTTCAGCTGCTTGTCCTCTCCAAAGAAGCTTTGACATTAATGACAGCTTTTACACAGCTCTATCTTCTTTACTTTGACATAATGTTTCAGCTTTTTCTTATCTCTAATCAGGCCTTCCTTTCATGTTTACCTATGTAACTGAAGTGCATGCATCTGTAGTCTGTTTGGCTGTATGACATGAAGGAGACAGCAGATTTAGATCGTGTTCCTATAAAAGAAAAAAAAGTGGAGACCTGTACCTAGAGCAGAGAGTATTACCTCTTCATAGCACAAGAACACTGGAACATTCAATAACATAGGAAGACCGCAAAACCTGCTAAAACCATAGGCTACATGGTACTTGATGTGTCCTTGAAACAGACAGTTTTGCAAAATATAAAGACAGGTTGGCTGATTGTATGGATAATAACCAAAATGCATAACAAATCATGTAAGTAGGGTTTGTGAGAGGTCAGTCATATGTAATCCTCCATGAATGGTACCTTTGAGATTAGGAAGCAGAAAACATCAGACTAAGCAATATAATTCTTTTAAGTGCCTGCTTAGCTAATTTTATTTAAGAGAAAGCTACAGGAGTGGACAGGCCATTGAAATGATCCAGAACATCAGTTCAGTAAGGCAGTGTGCACGTACAGCTAGAGGGGCTGACCCTAACTGAGAGAAACTATGCCACTCAAGTCTCTTGGAGCTATTTCGGGGTGCCAGCAGATTTTGAATAAGTAATAATTCAAACTGTAAACATGTACAAGTCTTAACTGTTTAAAAGAAATGGAAACACTTTTAGAAATCTGCCAAGAATAATTTGGTTTTTGGCCAGGTGAAGCTGATCTGCACTTTCTCTCTGCAAGGGTTATGGGAATTGAGCAATAAAACCCCCCATAATTCAGTATTAACTTGGATTGACTAAACCTGGATTGACTTTAAACTCTATTTTACAGGCATTATTCACAGTGATCTGAAACCAGCAAACTTTCTGATAGTTGATGGAATGTTAAAACTAATTGACTTTGGCATTGCAAACCAAATGCAGCCAGATGTGACAAGCATCATTAAAGATTCTCAGGTGAAATACTTCTGGAAAATTGATGTACACTTTATAGAAAAGTGCTATAATACTTACTGATTATGTTGATTATTGTAGTAACTTCAATGAGTACTGAAATTTTATGCTGAATGGTTTTTTATATATATAAAAAAATATTCATATACATGAAATTTTAAATGCTTTTGTTGAATGGAATAATAATGGCCTTTGGCCTTAATAGAAACAAATTTTCAAGATGCTTTTCAGTGCTTTGAGACAAAAATCTTAACTTTGTTGAGTGAGTTAAATTAAATGTATGCTTCACTTAAAGCAATATTTTTACTTTTTTATGACTAGGTTGGCACAATGAATTATATGCCACCAGAAGCAATAAAAGATATGTCTTCCTATGGAGAAAACGGGAAATCTCGATCTAAGGTAACATCTTTTTTTCTCTTCTTCCTTTCATGTCAAGAAGAAAATAATTCAGGCATATATCTTAAGGCTTAGTTTTGTCAATGTCTTCCACTAAAACTAGAACACAAGGAAATTCATGTTGCCATGATGCCAGGCAGACATTGAAGGCTAAGTTTATTCCTCTCAACTGCCTAAAAGCGTTTTGCAGATGGTGTTTAGAAAAATGTAGTGCTGAATTAATGAATAAAATTGAAAGCAAAACAGATGTACAGGCTTGAGCATTGGAAGAGCTGATAATAATAATATAATAATATCTAAACTGATAATAAATGTAAAAGTAACTTAAAATCCATTTTTATGGAGCAATATAAAACAGTATTCCCCTATGTAATCAGTGTGAATGCAAATTGAACAACAATATAGAGTATAGTGAAATGCATGCAGGAAAGCTATTTCATATTGACTATCAAACTTCAGTTAAGGGCTACATAGTTTTGTGGAAAGATATTTTTTTTAAAAAAGATCCATATTCATATGTACGTGCGTATACACACTCAAAGATTGTGACTTTGTAACAGTGGAATGGAAGTGTTACAGTGTACTGAAACACAATCTTATCTTTCTAAACAGAATAGAATGTTTTATAGATGGATTTCTTTTGTTAGGGATGATACTTCTTTTAAAAGTTTTACCTTTACGTTTTTAAAAATTTCATGCAAAATGCAGACTTGTTCCAGAGCTTAGCTCATCTAAGCAAAAATCTAACCATTGTGCTGAGAGTCAGGCTCTCCATGTGCCTCTTTCCCCACCTCCTTTTTCTCCCTCAACCTTATAAAAGTGCTTCAGCTTCAACAGGAGCAGTGGAAACTCCTCCTGTAAGGAGCAGCCCAGGTGTGGTGGTTGAAGTCTGAATCCTTTAAACCCAGAGGAACTGAACTATGACTTCCCAGTTTGAGGACATAGCTGTGATGTCTTACTGGTTTCTGGTTTGAATTGATTTAGTGTGCTTTTATTTGTGTTTACTCATAAATCTGAAATGATAGTCCTACCGTTAAACTTCTTAAGGACTACCTTTAATTTTATTTTAAGTTAGTTATTCAAGCTAGTTGATTTGAAAAGATAATTAGCAAAAATAGCTTTCTTACGGAATATTACTGAATGAAGCCACATCACTGTCTTAGATAATGGTATGCTGTCTTGGTGATTTTTGTGTGATAGTTACTAAGATCTATTATCTTATGTAAAATAGATATACTGTTAAGTGAAATGACTGTACAATTATATGATAAGTTGACTGAAGAGACATTTCCTTAAGTGAGGAGTAATCTTAATTTTTTTGGTTTTATATTAGATAAGCCCCAAAAGTGATGTGTGGTCATTGGGATGCATTTTGTACTGTATGACATATGGAAGGACTCCATTTCAACATATAACAAATCCAATTAATAAACTGCACGCTATCGTTGATCCTAGTTATGAAATAGAGTTTCCAGATATTGCTGAGAAGGATCTTCAAGATGTGCTAAAGGTAACTGTCCCTTAAGATTAATTTTGATTCAAATAATGGCAACTTCTTTAGATAAAGTATACTGTCTTAAACTGAATGAGTTATGCTTAAGAAACATTTTTTTCACAAATAAATGCTCACTGCTACCTGTAGTAACAGGTCTTATTGCAAAAGAAGACTTAATGAAACTAGAACTGCTTCATATAGTTTCCATAGTAAAAGTCTGTTTTCAGCTCAGCAGCAGATAAACAAGTAAATGTTTAAAGCAATCTGGCTTAACTCTTTTGGCTGAACAACCCACAGTAAATACAGAAGCTTTTGTACTCGCCATCCCTTTCCCTCGCCCTACATATTTGCTTGCTTTTGAAACTTGGCCTGTGCTTTTGCTCGAGCCCTGATTGTGTTGCTCGGCGGGTAACAAACTGAAATCCAGAAACGCTTATCCCCTTAACTTTCAAATCTCAGTGTCATTTTGTGTCATTCAGAATAAAAGGATATTGTAGGTTCTGGTCTTCACCTCTTTCAACGTTGTTGCTTGAGTAAAACAAGATACCGAACTTTACTCTGAGGATAATTGCTAATGAAGGCAATTAGGTTAATCTGTTATTTATTGTATTTTGAGTTGAATCTTTCCAAGTACATAGTTTGGCAGTAAGAAGTTCTGACATGAATTTACAGGGCCTTTTAATTATCCTTACTGTTAATTCTTAGGGAAATTCTTAATTCTTCAAGCATTTTTTCTCTTCTTTTTTCATTTGCAGCGCTGTTTGATAAGAAATCCTAAACAAAGAATATCTGTTTCGGAGTTACTGATACATCCCTATGTTCAAATTCAAAGTCATTGTCAAACAGGTACATTTATTTTAAAATACATTTTTATTAAATAGTATTTATAGTTCTGTTTAAGAAAACAAAATACTGTTAAGTGAACTTTCCACTTGCTGGCGTAACAATCTATTGTGTTTAGTGCCTATATATGTTTCAGAAAAGACTTCCATATTTTACTTCTTAAACTCTTCATTTCAAAACTGACTTCTTGTATACCTTATAAAAACTGCACTGGTAACGTGTACATAGTTGTGTACAACTATAGCATAATTATAAATTAACTGCAGGTGTTCAAAATGCAAAAGGAACAACAGAGGAAATGAAGCGTATCCTCGGCCAGCTTGTTGGCTTGAATTCTCCCAACTCTATTTCTAGAGCTGCTAGGGTAAGGAAATCTTCTTTTCTATTTTGTATGTTAGTACGTGTTCATGTAAACAAAGGTTAGAATGTTTGTTAGTGAAAGCTTAAAGGATACATATGTCAAAGCTTTAACCACGGCTGGAAAAACATTGCACACTGTAGTTCTTTTGTTTGCGAGCATGCAGAATCTCTCCACATCCTTCTGAATGGCGAGGCTTGAAAGGATGATGGTAATCTTGATTTTTAGCTTTTTCTTTCCTTTTCACCTCCCAGTATATCTGTTATTTCCAAATCCCGCACTGCCTCAGCATCTCCTCTCTAAACTGGTTCTTAACTGTGTTACTTTACTTTCAAGCTGCCCCAAAACTGTAGTAGGTCTTCTAATTTAAGAACCATCATTATGGAGAAATGATCTAACTCGATTTTTCAAGTGTGCAGGCTTCTGCACTGCAACTGTTCTTACTTCCTGGAATCATAGAGTCATAGAATGGCATAGGCTGGAAGGGACCTCAGAGATCATCTAATCCAACCTCCCTGTCATGGGCAGGGACGCCTCTCAACTAGACCAGGCTACTCAATGTGTAAACTAGTTCCTGTATGTTGAGGTATTATGATTTTAGCCTCTCGGTTTACTGCCTGAAAGAGAAGCTTGGTAACTCTTCACTGGCTTGGTTCTTTCCATCTGTCTCTCAGAAAAGGTGATGGTGGTCAAATATGTAATAAGTTGAGATGGAATGCAAAGCTGCTTTTATGGGGAGGAAAGCAATCAGTATGCATAAAGTGTATCCAAAGAAGTATATTTACACTTGTACTGCTAGTCATACCTGATTTTTTTTTTAAAATATGGGGTTGAACAAGAGATTATCCTTTTGCCAATATTGTGATGTGTCTGTTTGCGGCCACTGATTTTTCGTATCTCAATAAAGCCTGCTCACCCTGATTACGCAAATAATTCTGTCTTCCATGCTGATGTTTCTACATCAGAGACAATTACTGGAGTAAAGTTAATTTTAAATCTTGGTAATTAGCTTGTTCTCTGCCAACTTGTGAAGCTCTATGCTTTTGCTCATGCTGCTAAGTCACTGTGTTTTCATTTTGACACTACATTGCATTACAACTGGTACAACTATGCTGTCTGAAGTGTATCTTTATTTTCTGATTTGAGAGAGAGATTTTAGTGTGAAGTTTAGAATATTTCAGTATGTGACAGCTTATTTCAAGTGGGTAATATTTGTTATAAAGATATAGTTTGAATTCATGTGCAATACAACTGTGTTCACCTGAATACCTGTGTTTTTATTAACTTTCAGACTTTATATGAACAGTGCAACAGTGGTAAAAGTCTTGATGTATCAGCATTTGCAAAACTTGGGAGTCAAAAATCATGGACCACAAAATGATGTACTACTGTTCAGGATGCAACAGAGGTGTCTGGTCTGTTCAAAAAATGTTTTGTGCTGCTAGCTTTTTAAAAGGACACTCAGCATAAAGTTCACGTTTTAAAATGTTCTTTGTTTTCTGATAATGCTTGCAGATCATTAAAAAGAATTTAATTGAATGCTTTTCGCTGTGGACTATTTCACTCTTTGCGTGCAACTTGGGTTGAATAATGAAAACTGGTAGTTGGTGATTATGATCTTTGTTACTTAAGAGAACTACAGTGTTTGGAGTACAAAAACTTGTATGAGAATCTTCAAGCTCTTTTATCCCTCTGAAGCTAAACCAAAAAGTTCCTAAGATGCCAATTGGTGTACATGGAAAAACATGCAAATATCTCTTGAAATATTTCCTATGACATGAAGACAGAGTATTATGCTGTTCTGTCCTTTGCCAACTCTTGTGTCCAGTTTTGATCATAGCTAAGGAAATAAGCACTCTGTTTATATAAGCCATCATTTACAATACTGGTAGATACATGTAAATGTCACCCGGTTTTGGAGCTGTTCCTGTTGTTAAGTGACATGATGGAAGCATCAGTACTGTCGTGAAGAGTTAAATGAATAAAATGGCTTTTGTTCTATTAAAAATGCTGCTATAAATCCAATATGCTTTTGAATTTTCAAAATAATAGAAAACCCATCAAGACTGATGGTCAGAAATCTCTAACTTGGATTTTTAAAAGCATTAATAATAAGTATTCCTTAATGCGCTGAATGTAGCAGGGCTGATTTTTTTTTACATGATTTAGTGGATTGATCAAGTTTTGTTTTAACTGAGTTACATTTCTGGTACATGTTAAAATGATATCTAATAATTCTAAATTGAAAAAAAAATCTTGTCTTCATTTTCATGACAGCTGCCATGTTGTCCTTGGATACCTTCTAAAATGTGGAGCTTGTCAGCTCTCTATCTTGATCAAGCATTTTGAATTAGCCTGTTTTGCCTTTCCTTCATAACAGCCCTGCATATAAAGATCTCAACTTCATTATTAAAGTGACTCTTTTCCTTGTTTATCTGCATGAATTAATAGTAAGCTGTACTCCTTGATCAGTGATGAAAAAAAGTTGGTCAGCACTAAGGAAGTTTTCCTTGGCAATTTCTGCTTGTTAGGTTACTGAGTTCTTGTTTTCTTAGCTTCAGAAGAGCATTGAAGTATTTAAGTCTTTGATAGCCTTTGTATTTCATGTTTAAGTTTGGATAACTCATATTGGGAAAAGATGTCATAAGTAATGCTTCGCAAAGGCCTAAGTTGAGGGAGGTTTGTCTTTCGTTGCAGGCGTATATTTAAATATTCACTTTTCCCTCTCTCCTGAGTACTTTTTCATCAGATTGCCTGCGTTCCCAAGGTTTAGTTGTTTTCTTCTTGATCTTGGAACATTAGGTTTCACTGATGTTTTACTACCAGTTGATTTCTGTAGCTTTCATTTCAATGACTTGAAAGATTTAGAGGATCAAAAATCTGAGTAGCATGGTACTGCTTGTTACCTGTTAACCTGAACCTGCAGCAGTAATGTGAAGTCTCCATAAAGCCTCTGAAGAAGGGAGGTAGTCTTGTTTAAACTGCCAGGTTTTACTAGCTGACAGAAGTATGATTTATGCATCTAAGTACTGGAGCACAAATCAAGTGCTTGGAAATTCTTTCTGCCTCTGTGGTGGAAGTGCATGTTCATAGCACTTCTGTCATCTGTGTGCCATCTGGGAGGTCAATTAGGTCAGCTGTCTGTGGGGATAAAAACTGGTCATTCTTGCTTCTGGAGGCTTACTTAAGCTGATACACCTTGCTGCTGTAGTCCAGAGAATTCTTACAAGTTACTTTGAACATCACAAAATACTGGGTAGTTGTTTGATGTTCTGAGGGTGTGGACATTGTTCTTGAGAACTTTTAGTTTGACCCTGTAAAAGGGGAATTACCACAGCCTTTGGAACATGTATTAGCAGGGCTGATATACCTTTATCATCTTGGTCTAGGTAAGCTTATCTTACACCTACAGGAACAGGCATATTGGACTGCATGCTCTATTCTACTTTCCCTTAGTATTTATGGGGGATCACTCTTTACTGACAACTTCAGTTAAAGAAAATGTGTTACCTCTTATGCCTGGAAGACACAGCTATTTCTGCAGTGATCCAAATGCAGCGTGGCAGCTGCACTTTGCATGATTCTTCAGCCCACAACGTAACCTTTTTCCATGCTTGCACACTGAACAGTGATAGCTTTATTGGTATCACTCATAACAGTTCCATAATGTCTTGGTCTGAAGTTAATAGCAAAGAAAAGAGATAGCAAGTTGTAAATACCTATCCCAACAGCAATATTGGAGGAAAGACTTTATTTCAATGTGTTCTTACTATCTTTCCTGCCATTGATTTATCAGATCTTTGTTGACTTTGTAGCCCAATAAGAATTGAAGACAGCGAGAAGAGCACGCACTTTGATCTCAAATGACACATGAACTCGGAAGTATTGTATTTTTTCTCCGAGATTTAGTAGCTTTGATTTTTGAATTAGGTTTTTCAGAGCTTGCTAATGTAATAAAAGCACCTCTTGATAGGTGGGAAACTTTAGGCTTAATTATCTCTAGTTCTAAGCAGCAAAACAATTGTTCAAATAATTGCTTTTTGAAGAACAAAAAAAATCTTTAATGAAGAACAGTATTTCTGTAATTTTATCAGACTTTTGCTTAATGTCTGTATTTCAAAACTCTAAGCCCTCACCACCTTCATATGCCAGTTAGGACTATCCTGCTGTGATGGAGCAAGTGCTCATAAAAGAGCATTAATTATTCTGGGGTGTGGTGTTCCTGTGTCTGTTCAACACCTGCCCTCCTTTGTTTCAGGTTAACAGGGATTCTATGGATTACACAGGGAGAACGATTAGGAGTGAGAACTGCTGATACCAGCCCTTCTCCCCTCAGCCTGAATCTGCGCTCATCTCAGCGATGGGGCACATGCAGAAACAGTATGTCTCCCTTTTAAGGGGAAACTTGGAATGATAAACTTAATTTTGCTGTTGATCTAATTGTTATTATATGAAACAGATTGTGGAGCCTCAATTAGTCATCTGTGGGGACAGAGGGGAGCTATCTCTTTTCTAGGGGAAAACGTTAAATACTTGTTCCCTATAATGGTCTTGTTCTTTCTGATTTTTTTTTTTAATCCTAGACTTTAATACTCCTGCAGAAGTTCGGTGGTATTTCAAGCATTATGAGTACATATGCTAATTGTACTCTTATCTGTTACACAAATGTTGAACTTTCAAACTTGAAGCTGCTGAAGATAAAATGTTAATGTTCTGCACCTTTCATATTCTAGACAGTTTAGGAGACTACTTATGGTATGGGAACTGAAATGCTATCTCTGGCTTCCTCGGGAGAGAAGGAAAAGAAGTATCAGCCTCTTCAGAGGAAAACTTGTGAAGAAAATCTTTACTCTGCAGAAACATCTTTTCACAAAGAGCTATTGAAATGTCTCCCAACTACTTGTCTAGATTACAGATCTTGAAATATTTCTACATTATTATTTTAATGTTATAATTGTTAACTTTCACTGTTTTGCTTCTCTGGTTAGTGTTGACTATGCAGAGAAGTGCTACATATGTTTTTTTTGTTTGGTTTATCAATCCTTTCATTCCATGACTGCTAAAGAACACACAGGAAATATAGTTGGCATGAGAGGGAGCTTATGAAAGAGGACTGGGGCTGATGAGAGGCAATGGGTTATCAATCATACCTTTTAAATAAAAATTTCCATTACAAATGCGTAATTGATTTATACTCCTTCCTTATGTCAATGAGGTGCTGCAGGATGTCTGCCTACCTTGGCAGCTGCTGCTTACTGGCCCTGTCTATTCCTGTTGGTTTTTTGCTTTATGGACAACCACCTCCCTTTTCAGATTCTTCTGGGATCTTAAAAGTGTGTGTGAAGTACAGAATAGCTATAAATGAATAACTTTAAAGGACAGAAAATACCAGTCTTAAACATTGAGTAACAGAGGTTGCTGCCTGAAGCTTTCTCAAGATTACGAAACGCTCATCATGTCTTACTGTCACCCTCAAGGCCACAGTTCAGGACAGTGTGTGTGTATAAACTGGGGAGAGAAGATGGCTGACTAAACCAGAGCATGACTGTTTATAATCACTGTTACTGGGTACGTGTATGGTATAATGCTGTGTCAGCTAATGTTGAGATTCCACAACTACATGAAGAGTAGAAAGGTAAATGAGAACACTTCAGTAAGTTCCCTTTAGTAATTCTTGTTCAAAAAATGAGTTTGGAAACTTGCAACCTTTAGATCTAATACTGTGGTCCAAATAACATTTACTCAGCAGTTAACACTAAGAAAAGCCAACCTGCAGAAGAGTGACTTCCTTTCTTATTTATGGATGGGTATGACATTACTCAACTTAAACAGCTGTATGTACAGTTGGAATTCAAAGACTAAATCAAGTTTAAGTTTTGAAAGCTCTGCTCTTATAGTCTGTCGTGGTGTGCCAACACCCAAAACTGAGTCCTTGACAAATATAAGAAAAGGAGGCTGTTCTCTTGCATAACATCCTGCTCTCAGGACACTTGTCCAAAGAGCAAGACAAGTCTATCTCCATGGCCCTGAAGAAGTCGGACTCCTGCTTCTCATCTGGCTTTGTTGAAGGCACTCTTAAGCTCCTGCTGCTGAGCCTGCAGCTGAGCAGGAAGGGAGTGGTTAAATCCCTAACAGTAGAGTGTGCAGTGCAGGGTGTGAGTTAGTGTGAAGGTGTAAGTGGTCAAATTGTCACTCTATTTTCATACCTCCTATGGGTTTCTGTTGTTTCTTTAAGCACCTGATAGTGGTTTCATGCTAAACAGATAACCAATTCTGGGAGTGAGGGTAAGTATAAAAAATTAAACAGTTGAAGTAAACTTGAGTTCTAGTCTACCTCTGAAGCCTAGCTTACTCGTGAGTTCTTCATAAGGATCACAGGCT